ACTTGCTTTGCAGGAAGATTTAAACTTGTTGAGTGATTGGTGTAAGCACTGGGCCTTGGAGATTAACTTAGGCAAGAGTGTAGTTATGCATGTATCTCGTAGTCACGTGCACAATTACTCAATGAATGGCATTACTCTCCCAGTGGTCACTGAGTACAAGGACTTGGGAGTGGTTGTGCAGCATGACTTGAAAACAGCAACAAACTGTAGAGCTGCAGCCACTAAGGGTTTTCGAATATTATGGGCCATACGCAAGGCTTTTGCGAACTGTGACGCTGATATATTTCATATATTATATCCGACTTATATCAGACCTCATTTGCAATATAGGATCCAGGCAGCGAGCCAGTGTTGCAAATACGAAATAGACTTATTAGAAAGGGTGCAAAGAGTAGGAACTAAGCTAATAAAGGGTTTCTCAACCCTCTCATATGAGGAGAGGTTAAGTCGACTGGGTTTATTTCCACTGTCATATGGACGACTTAGGGGTGACCTAATACCAGCATACCGTATCCTAAGAAATGATTTTGGAGCAAATTTATCTAATTTATTTCTTCCTTCTAGCACCAACCAATTGCGAGGACATCACCTCAAGGTTCAAAAACCACGGTCGAATCGTCTGCGTCTGGAGATGCGTTTTTCGCATCGAATTGTAAACCACTGGAACTCCCTACCGGAACACGTCGTATCAGCGCTATCCGTTGATTCATTCAAGGCGAGATTGGACCTCCTGTGTGCAACAAATCGAAAGGATTAACACAGGCATACAGCCTACTATCCTAAATAAATTGTAAACTGTAAATATGATCTCTAATAGGATGATTGAGGGTTAAATTAAAGTTTGGGTTGTGGAAATATCTGAACCAGGAGCATCCGAACTACTGGTCCATTTCTCGACCAGCTAATCAAGTCATCATTTGAAAAAGCAATCCTTATATATATATATCATTTATCAGCGGTCTAAATTCCTAATCTGAATTGATTTTCACAAATATGATGTTGATAGTGGAACTGTGTTAGGTAACGTTTGCTTGGCTACCTATGTAATGAGCCATTGATTAAATCTGTTATGATTATAGAAAATAAATTTTATCCGGAAAGCCACCCAGTAAATTATAGTGCTCTACTGTGTTCTATATCCAGTAAAGAAACTGACATGGAATTATATCTGTGGCCTTGACCGGAGATCTAGTTGGTCAGCTAGTGCGACAATAGATGGATATTGACATATCATGTATTCACATGATATATGAGTATTGCTCGTGGTGTTTACAGTGAAATGATTAGCAGTTGAGTCTCATAGCTTAGCTGGTAAAAAGCTGGACTAGTAATTCGCGGGCCACTGGTTTGAATCCTGCCACAATTCAGTTTATTTTATTTCACCGACAATATATCAATAATTAATAGTCTGACAAGTGAATTCACTGGGTAGAATATAATCTCTTATTGGATAAGTTTAAGTGATACTTGTTCTACGGTGTGATTGTACCATTTGAAAATAACCTCTTTCAGAATAGTAGCTACCTTCAGAATACCCTCTGTTTTTTCATTGATAGCCATTAGTCATTGAGCGCAGTCCCTGAGCAGTGCGAAATCACTTCTGGCAAACTGGTATACGAATTGGACTTAAAACATTTAATGTCTAATTTATGTATGACGATAAAGAATTAATTATCAACCGGCCAGTATTGCTCAGCAACAGAGAATACTGAAACGATTCTTTCTTACTGGACAAGTTTATTTTAAATATCACACAGTGAGGCAGCATTATTAAGCGGATGACGTTTCGAGCACAAATTATTGCCAATCATAATCATATCAACGGAGTTGTAGCGGCCCCAAATCAACTGTAACTGTGAGCTCATAAAACTAATTCACGTACGCATGTCATACGCCTAAAGAAACTAATTTTACATATGCTTGTAGAATAAATATTTGTTGTCGTACTAATGAATCTTGCTTTCCGTTTACTGCATATGTATTTTACGCGGCTAAACACTTTTTCTTTCCCTTCGTACTTTTCAAAATTAGATTTTGTTAACAAGAAATCTTAACTTGCGCTTCTTAATACGACGTTGTTCGCCTTTGATTGTGTACAGCGTTAGCTCATCGTAGAACGTGAATGTATTATAGTATTATATTCGGAATCATAATTACTATGCAATATGGTCAAATGGCTTCATAATTTGTCTTTCCGTCTTCCATTTGTTTGTTGCCAATTCCGATATCTTCGGTATAGGCGTTGCATCATTCCTATTGCATGTGTGCAGTGTTGAATCGATAAACAAAGCTTCAGGGACTAAGCTCTCTCTCTCACTCCACTTAACTATATTACTTTTTAATACTTTCACCCTGTCCCACCCACTCTGTTATGTGATTACATGCAAGTGAATGCAGTGCAGTGCAATGGCTGGGCCTTTTTCTAGGTTATTTCACTCAGTAGGGTGAACATTCTAGGTGTAGCTAAATTTTTATCTTCCAATAATCTAGTTGACCCTGATCTACTAGTTTCACCTATGTAATCGACCGCACAGTCATTAAATGCAATTTGGGGAAGCAATAGGACGAGATGGCATTCCCCCTGAAGTATTGAAAACGGACGTAGAGACTGTAGGAGATATGATGACGCGATTATTGCAAAAGGCTTGGAAGGGAGGCCACCTTGTCAAGCTTCCAAAGAAGGCCTACTTTCGCCTCTGCAAGAACTGGTGTGGAATAATGCTCTTGTTCACGCCAAGTAAAATACTAAGTCGCATCATCCTGGAGAAAATAAAAGATGCACTGGATGCACTTGGTCAGCCAAGAAAAAACTAGATTCAGGAAAGGAAAATCATGTGCTGATCAAATCGCAACTCTACGCATCGTCATCACAGAACAAAACATACAATGGCAGTCAAACCCTTACCTACCTCAGAGAGGTGATTTGGAAACTACTTTAGCACTGTGGAGTGTGGTTCCCCAGATCGTTGTTAACTTTATTCAACTGCAGTTATGTGACAGTGGCAGGTGTCAGGTGATCCACAACGGGAAACTCAGTGAGGCGTTTGAAGTGACTACAGGAGTGAGACATGTGGGTTGCCTGCCTATTATCAGCAAGGATGATATTCTTAATTGTGGTGGACTAGATTTGCGTCAGACTAGGCGCGTTGGGAGTGAGAAGGCACGAATATGTTGGACAGATGAGAAGACCTTAGAAGATCTGAATTCCGCGCGTTGTTGATTTATGTTTAATGTCACACAAACTCGAAGACTTACAGGCAAAAACTGGCAACAAACTGGCTCACAAGGCTGGCTGGCTGGCAGCGAAGACAGGACTTCAGATGAAGATATAGAAGGTGAAGATGGAGGTGATGAAGATAACCAACCAACAGCAGCAACAACAACAATAACCAACACCAATCACCATCAACGCGAGAGATTTAACAGAGGTTACTTCCTTCAATTATCTGGTTAGGAAGCATCGTTTCAACTACAGGCAGGCGGCACGGGTGAAAACGTGAAAACCAGAATCGGAAATGCAAGACACACCCCGATCACTGTGAAATCAGTTTGCAAAATCTTCTGCACTCCGCCTCAGCATCACAAACAACAAGAATCAGATTTTCGATAGAATTGTGAAGTCACTTCTTCTATACGGGTCAGACAGTTAGCTCGCATGTCACGAAAAGGATTTCCAACAGGTTGCACACTTTTATCAATAACTGTCATATTGAAGAGCAGATAGCGAGAAATAGTTGGTAACAAGAAAATATCGGAACAAACTAACCAAGAACCGAACACTGAAAAATTATGCAGAAGAAAATGGAGATGGAGTGGGTACACTCTGAGGAGACCGTCGAATGACATCGGCCGCCATGCAGGCCATAGCTCGCTTGGAGTCCGGATAGGAATCGACGAGTTGAGCGTGTGCCCGAAGGTGACATGGAAGAGATCGTACAAGGAGGAGATGAGAGATTATGGGCAGTTGTGGAACCAAGTGAAGAGGACAGCAGCAAATAGAACTAAGTGGAGGTGTGTTTTTGAAGCCCTACGGTAACCAAGAGAACAAAAATAACAATAATAATGGGACTATTTGAACTTAGTTTACTTGAATAAATACGGGACACCATATTAATCAGCCTTGGGCGTTTATTATTATTACTATCAAGCACTCTTTGTGTTTCAAGTGGAGTAAATGGCCTCGAATCATTCTAATACATCTGCAAAAACAGCACAAGATAATGAGAAGGCTTTTCAATAGTTCAAGTTTTCTGAAGACACACATATTTATCCTGTGATATTAAGAATTCACAAACTGATATCTCAACCCACAGATTTTCCATGGCACTTTATTTGACTTAAAAAACTTATCCGTACACACGATTCGTAAATAGTTTGTATTATTTCAGCTTAAACTTTTTTAATCACATTTTTACCTTTGATAGTGCATATATATATATATATGTGCGTTGGTGGGACAGCGGTTAGGACACTTGCCGACCATGCACATGGTCCGGGGTTCGATTACCATGCGGACGCACACCCGACATCAAAGGTCGGCCTGCAAAATTTGGGCTACCGATATCACATGCTGAAAATTCCATACCTGCATCAAAAATACTGTGTGGTTTCAAGCTATAATCAAAATATTAAAAAAATAAAATGTTTATATATTCTCATTTAACTGACCGACAGAATTTAGTCTACGGATACTCTGAGGTTACTCCCAAGTGGCCAATCAGTCTATCCATTATAGTCCTAATATGAGGTTGCTCGTGAACTTCTATGACTATAGCGCTGGTTGACGCAGATTCGAATCTCAGAGGAAATATGAGTCCCTACGAGATTGCAGACACACATTGCTGACGAGTGCCGACCAGCCCGAAACCTCAGTCCAGGGTGTTCCCTTACCACTGCCTGCAACCATCTCATTTGTCTGTGTGATTCTGATAACACTGTAGTCATCAGAAGCCAACAGTGACTCTACAATTACAAGCTTAGAAGTCATTTCTTATAAAAAATCTGTTTTATTTCAAATCATAGGTGGAAAGGTAGGTCTCTATGTGAAAAAAGATTACATAATCAATTAAAAAAAAGAAGTATCTCGTCACTTTTGATTCCTAAGTTTACATTATATAATAAATTTAGACAGAGAAGGCAGAGAGTGGGAGTGAGAGAGAGACTGGGATCTGTCTTTAAGAGAATATTCAAGAGAATTTGTTTATCTTCAAGGTGATCATTACTTCTATAAAAAAGAAATGGAAATACCATCGACTACATAATGCGTATTACAAACAGAGTTTAGGAAACACATTCCAACTTTATACAAATCACTGTCAACTGGATGAATACATCAGTTTAGACAAAATTGACATTGGATTTATTAGGATTGCTTGCCATTGGTGCGGTAGGAGCGATCATGGAATTATTATCTTGTAATTCAGAAAAACCATAATGTTTCTCAGTTATATCTTTGCCACTCCTTAATAATTCCAGTCGATTCTCTCGTTCCGATCGGGCGTTTTGATAATTAATAAACATATGCCACCACTGGTTTAAAATTTCCGCTGTCACTACATCACCAGCATTGTTTCGTATCATGCGTAATAAAAAGAAACCATCATTTTTAACAAATTCTGTGATGAAGTGTTCAATACGCGGATCATCAATGTCAATGTTACAACCATCACAGGTTAAACTATGATTTTGATATGCATCTAATATCTGTGAGTGTATTGATATAATTAGATAATTACGAATGTAGGCATTTTGACGATTTTGTAGTGATAAACGTATTAACCATACAAGTAAACTAATGCTGGTTATAATGCTGACAACAGCAATCCATAACCATAAAAATATGTAAATTTTTTCATTGAACATATTTACAGGCAGTGCACAGATTGCAGTGAATACATTATTCTTAGAACCAAGATGACGAACATGCACTGGACAATAGGTTTGACGTGGAAAGAATTCACTTTCAGTCCATTCATGTCTTGATGTAAGTGTTCCAATTAACCGTTGACCAAATGAAAATAAATTTCCATGATAACCTAAAAATGTACGTATTATGTACAACTGGCCGAATAGATTAGTTAAATACAATAGTTTTACAAAGATGTATGCCAGTGATATACAATTTCCCATGCGTTTTCCAGCAATCAGTAGTGATCCACCAGACATATGTGACATTTTGTGTTGAAGTTGTGCCCATCGACTTGATCGATAATCGAAATGCTGACGTCCTAATCGAAACAGGTGGTAGGCAGCTGATTCAACAAATTTTTGACGTTTGGCATTGTCATCAGCTGCATTGGCCTTATACGCCATGTCTAAAATCGCTTCTAGATTTCCACCCATTAGATGTGTGGCGAATGTCTGCCAAGCGAAATGAGGTAGAAAGAACAATATTCCCTGGATTGATAAGCAAAATGGAACCCATTGATAGAAGGCTGTAACAAAACAAAAAAGGTAAAACAAAAAACACACGATGAAGTCACGCAAAGTAGAAAATAGTTTAAAAAAAATTGAGCATTACAGTGGAAAAAGGTTGAAATAAAAATAAAGTTACAATTGATGTAAGGAGAAAACTTGGGCACTGTGGTAGAGTATAATTCCATTATGCAATAGAAGTGACTCAACGGAAATACTACAGATATGGAAGATATTATTAGCACCAGTCAAATCAGAGGGGGATGATAAGTAATGTTAAAATGTATTTCAGTTCATATTATAACATTCTAACAAATTATTTATTTTGTTCAAATGTCTAATCAGTTTTTTTTTACTCAGGTATATAAATGAAGCAAGGAAGTTGTGTGAGTAGTACCTTGATATGATTATGAGTGGTAATAAATTGTGCTCGGAACGTGGTCGCATCAGTAAATATTACTGTATAACAACGCTGTGTCACTTTCTCAAAATAAAATTTTATCCATAGTGAAAAATACAGTTATATCAGTTAGAATTTTCGTAAATCGACAGATAGAAAAAATCAAGTTTATTGTTTATTTAAACTGTTTTGTAATTCCCGCTGGTTGATTTTACTAGATAGATGCTTGGTCTGTGTTGGCATGTCGACTGCATCTACAGCAGCTGTGATAGTACTTTCAGATTAACCCAGTTCTATTTAGTTTGTCATGGTTGACAGTGGAGTCCAAGACACGCAGCTCATCCTACCTGAAACCCGTCAGCAAGATGTGAGTGGTGGTATTCGCACTGAAATTCAAACCCAGCACTCATTGTTTCAAACATTAAAGCACTTCTCTCCGATACAATGAATCAACTACATGAATAACTTGAAAGAACAACAGCTGATGGCCATTACACATGAGTTAGCTCCTGTGGCTCAGCAGCTTGATGCGTAATGCTTTGGGGTTTAAAATGGTGGATGGTGGCGTCCAGCTCTCAGTGAAAACACCGTTCGCTGCGAATGCAGGTAAATATCCAGATAATGAGTCCTAAATACCAATAATAATAATAATAATTTGCTTTATTCCAAAACAGTACTTGTGATACACAACGGAATTCTCAGCATTTTTACTACGGTATTGCATCCAGTTAGTACGTTATCAACAAATAGAATTCTACATAGATTAAGGAAATCTCAGTTCATTATGACAACAACATATTGGCGTGTCGGCAGCAAAGCCAAAGTTGAACAGTGTTTGAAGGTGTTAGAAAAGTAGGTGCTATCATATTTACTGGCGTAAGCGAGAGAAAGAAACAAAGCAACACATAACGGAAAAAAGAGAGAGAGAAAAGGAAAAGAAAGAAAGAAAATGTACCTATAAATGATGTGAGTTGGAAAGATGAGGTCCAGTTGTACTACTAACTATTTAATGAGTTATAGGTGTCACGCCTAATGCTTTCTTTATCGCACAGAACACGAGCCAAGTAGGATATGGTTTAGTTTTTGTACTTGCTGGTGCGAGCATATAGAATTCAGAGCGTGTTCTGGATTTCATTACTAGCTATTTTTGATGAAAGCAGCGGTTGTATTTGACGACAGTTTTGTTTGAATATGCTATTGAATAACTTCAGGATAGGCGACTGTAATATCAATGCACTTTGACATTTCATCTTCGTTTAGTTTCTTTTTACCTATTTCTAGCAAAATATTTTATTCATATGAAGTGTTAACATCTCATGCATCTGTTAGCCAAATCATTTCCTGGAGATAAAAGCACATTAAATTGGACTTCATCAAATGAATTACAAATTCCACTTGATCAGCTACTAATCTTTCAGGAAAGGTTTCCCAGTCGTCTGCGTTCAGAGTGGAACATAAGGCCTCAAGACTTGAAGTTTCAGTAGCAGTGATGTAGTGTAGTGTTCTGTTTTTCAAGGCGTGGAGTGGCCAGCTTCATCTCCCCTTCTTTTCAGATTTGCTATCACCATCAACAGCATCAACAACAACAACAGACAACAATCAGCCAGCATAAATGGGAGGAACCTGAAAGAAACAACCTCCTTAACCTACCTGGGAAGCATCGTTTTAACTACAGGCGGACGGAACTGACGAGGATATCAAAGCAAGAATCGGAAAAGCAAGACAAGCTTTCACTACTCTCAAGTCTGTGTGGAGGTCAACAGCACTGTTCAACATGAAAAACAAGATCCGGATTTTCAACTCCAATGTGAAGTCAGTTAGTGCTAATATACGGATCAGAGACTTGGCCAGCGCGTCATCTCAAACAAACTACAGACCTTCATTAACAGTTCTCTTCGCTCAATACTCAAGATCAGATGGTCGGCCAGAAAAGATCAGCAACAGGGAGGGATCTCTGGGAGCGAACCTGAAAGGGAAGCGGCGAGTTGGTCGTCAGTGCAAGGGTGACTTGGAGGAGGTCATGTGAAGAGGAGATGAAAGTGTGTGGGTGGCAGACTTGGAGCCAGGTGAAAACTCTGACAGAGAACCGAAAGCAATGGAGACGCACGGCTGAAGCCTTATGTTCCTTTAGGAATTAAAGGGAGTAATAATAATGGATAACCTCGCCTAGATTACTAGGTCACTAGTATTCTAGCCGGTCCCAAGCCCGGATAAAGAGGGAGGGTTGGGGCGTGGTGCTAGCAACTCCACCCCCAAAACTTAACCAAATTGCTACAGAAACTTCAACGCTCAAATATATTCAAAATTCTAAAATTATAAACAATAACCTTATTTTTCGCTGGAATCGGGGAAGTGAAATGACGCGGGCTGGTGAAAGCCTTCGGGAAGCCAGTCAGCCGATGTGCCTTCTTTCGATGAAAGCAAAAATAAGGATGGGGACGTGGAATGTTCGTACAATGTACGAAGCTGGGAAGGCTGCTCAGGTAGCCGCAGAAATGAGGAGATATAAAATAGAAGTGTTGGGAATCTGCGAGAGCAGATGGAATGGGTGCGGAAGGTGCCAACTACCAACTGGAGAGACAATAATCTACTCCGGTCACCCAGAGGACAATCACGAGCACACCGAGGGAGTAGCCATCATGATGTCACCAACAGCGGCTAAAGCTCTCATGCAGTGGGAACCAATCTCCTCCAGGATAATGACAGTCAGGTTCAAATCAAAAGGAAAAAAGGTTACAATCATTCAATGCTACGCGCCTACAAACGTCTCAGAACATGAGAAGAAGGAGGATTTCTACAGTCAACTACAAACAGTAATGGACAACGTCCCAAAGAGCGATATCAAAATCCTGATGGGTGATATGAATGCGAAACTGGGAGGAGACAATACAGGAAGAGAACTCACCATGGGTCGTGAGGCCCTCGGTGAAATGAACGAAAATGGTGAACTCTTCTCAAACTTCTGCACCTTCAATGATTTGGTGATTGGTGGCAGTGTGTTCAAACACAGGGATATACACAAGGCGACATGGATTTCACCAGATGGACACACCAAAAACCAGATAGACTTCATTTCAATCTCAAGGAAGTGGAGACGGAGCCTACTGGACACAAGATCGAGGAGAGGAGCAGATGTGGGTTCAGACCACTATCTAGTACAAGGGACTTTCAAGGTGAAGCTGAAAGCCTCGAGGATAGCTGGAGATAGGCCACAATGCAAGTTCAACACGCAAAAACTGAAGGACACAATCACACAGGACATTGTCACTGCAACTGTCAGAGCAAAGCAGGAAACACTACGTGGCACCACTCAGGAATCATCCGTAGAAGACCATTGGAACTCTCTGAAGGTAATTTTCAACGAAACGTGCTCAACGGTTTTAGGAAGAAAGAAGAAACAAGACAAGGAATGGCTCTCAACGGACACTTGGAAGCTAATAGAGGAGAGGAGAATGGTGAAAGAGAAAATGATTCAATGCAAAGATGGACAAGAGAAGGAGACTCTGAGCTCAACTTAAACAGCACTGGACAAAGAAGTGAAGAAGAGTGCCAGGAAGGACAAAAGACAACTCTACGACAACCTGGCTACTGAAGCTGAGAAGGCAGCAGGTAAAAGGGACCTAAGGACACTATATCAGATAACCAAGTCTCTATCCGGGAAGAGATCAACACAAGTGAAACCTATAAAAGACAGCCAAGGGAACCCAATTACCAAAGAAGAAAGACAGATTAAACAATGGGCGGACCACTTCAAAGGACTCTTGAACCGACCACCACCTACAACCCCTCCAGAAATACCAACAACAGCACGTACACAACTGCAAGTTAACATCAATCCTCCAACGAAAACTGAAGTCATGAATGCAATCAAGCTTCTGAAAGCTGGAAAAGCAGCTGGACCAGATGGAATACCCCCGGAAGCACTGAAAGCGGACCCAGAAACGACGGCAGATATGCTGACTCCATTATTGCAAAAGATCTGGAAAGAGGGAAAGGTGCCTACTGACTGGAGGAAAGGTTACCTCGTGAAACTACCAAAGAAGGGCGACTTAGGACTCTGCAAGAACTGGCGAGGAATCATGCTCCTGTCGACGCCAAGTAAAATCCTGAGTCGCATCATCCTGGAGAGAATCAAGGACGCACTGGATACAGAACTCCGACCAGAACAAGCTGGATTCAGGAAAGGCAAATCATGTTCTGACCAAATTGCAACTCTATGCATTATCATCGAACAAAGCATGGAATGGCAATCAAACCTCCACCTCAACTTTATAGACTTTGAGAAGGCCTTCGACAGCGTTGACCGCGAAGTAATTTGGAGACTACTTGAGTACTATGGCGTACCCCAAATATTCATCAACCTCATTCAACAGCTGTACGACAACGACACATGTCAAGTGATCCACAACGGAAAACTCAGCGAGGCGTTTGGAGTAAACACAGGAGTCAGACAAGGGTGCTTATTATCACCAATGATATTCCTAATTGTGGTGGACTGGACTGGATTATGCGTCAGACAGTGGGAAACGAGAAGACAGGGATATCCTGGACCGACGTGAAGAACCTAGAAGACCTGGATTTCGCGGATGACTTATGTTTGATGTCACACAAAATCGAAGA